CAGGCCCCACAGCCTCCACAGGCCCCATGGCCTACACAACCCCACAGCTTGCACAGGCCCCACAGCCTCCACAGGCCCCACAGCCTGTGCAGGCCCCACAGCCTCCACAGGCCCCACAGCCTCCACAGGCCCCACAGCCTCCACAGGCCCCACAGCCTGTGCAGGCCCCACACCCTCCACAGGCCTCACGGCCTCCACAGGTTTGGCCAAAAAAGACGCCCAGGGCAAGGGGCATTTATGTGGGTGCCACAACCCCCCTGCCAGCACAACCCTATCTCTAGTTGCCCTGTGAATTTATTAAAAGCGTAGGATGGAGAAGTTGCTTCATGGCTGAAACAACCCTCCGTATGTGTTTTCCTTATTGCACCAAAAACCTTAACATTGAATAGCTCTACAGGAATTAACTAGAAAAGAATACTTAAGTCTTAAGTTAATACAAATTCTATACATTATCAATTGTCAAATTATTGCTAAAATAAGTTTAGGAATTTATTTTTCCCATGATTATTCAAATCTGTGAAAATTACATCTCTGCATCAAGAAAAGAAAAAAATGAGACATCTAATTAGGTGTCAGTAGGAACTGAACATGAAGAAGCAAAAAAATCTAAGAAGTTCATCTCATAGTAACATAAAAATTGACCCACATGCTTTTCTTAAAAATGTCAGGTTTTATCAGCAGTAATGTTTTGTCAACTTCTCTGTCTCTAAACAATCAGAATTAACATCTTCTGCTCACTGAAACTTGGAGGTTATTACCGTTGATCCAAACCTAGAGCTTTCCATATGTAAGACTCAAACTCTTTCAGCTAGTACTAACAAGGAAGCAGATCAGTTTCCACTAAGCTGTACAGAAAAATACTTTGTGACAGTATCTCTAGCATAGATCTACTCAGAATTCACTCCTGCCTTGGGAATTGTAGCAGGAGGCAGAGTGAGCACACAAGGAGGCAGGCGAGTGGAGAAGGAGAGGAGGATCAGCACAAACATGCGCACAAGGCACTTCTTCCGGGGCTTCTCCTTCCCACCACACCGTGCACGCACTGACATAACTGCAGCACATTTATTCTGCGGAGGACAAGGCCGTGCACAAACACCCGAGGTGGCTTGAACTGGCCACCGAGGGTCTTGGTGTGGGACAGCCACACTGCACTAGGCTCACCCTGCCACAGCTGACCTGCTCCTGGGCGGCTGGTTTATTCAAAGGTAGCTGACATGCAACAGGTAACGTCTCCGTGGAACTTTTTTGGATGCCTCGGTGCAGATGGACATGGTCTTACTCCTTCCTCCTTCCATATGCCCTCATAGACTTACAGATCAGGCTACATGGTGCCAAAGAGGGGAGATATTATTCTGTTAAGAGGCAGCAAAAGGTGTGATCTGGAGGCTGATGATGTTGGTAAAATGATGGGAAATCACAGAATCAGCAGACTAGAAGAAAACTAAACCCCGATGGCAAAATGAGTACATGGCGATCCCAAGAGAAGCTCCTGTCTTCTGAAACACACCCAATGCAAGAAAAGCCACAGCTTCCTTGAGGAGCTGGTTCCAAGCACACTGCCATCCTTACCAGGAAAAGGTCTTCCCTAAGTGTTGAAACAAAATCTTCCTCACCAAAAGGAAGGCCCTCCTATCTGTCCTATTTTGAACCTGGAGAAAAAAAAAAACATGCTCCCCTTTTCCCAAGCTTTTWTTTTTTTTGAAGCCTGGAACCCGCCTCTGGTTTTAGGGCTAAGGTTGAATGATTTCAGCTCATCCAAGAACTCCTCTCACTGCAGAGCCTGTTTTCCAGACCTCTGGTTGTTCTTGCTGCCCTGGATCGAGCCGTGTTTCTGGTTATTTGTTCACCCGGCGCAGTCCAGCATTTCACTCCGTATCTCCCAGCTTCCACTCAATCCAAGCCCTCTTCTGCAGTGCATTTGCATCCACTTGTCGCCACATGGCCGCGTTACCACCTGGGTGCTCGCAAACAGCCAAGGCTGGGCCCGGATCAAAGGGAATGTGGTTAAAATCAACCAGAATTGTGGCAGGGAAAGGTGACCAGCACCTTCCAAAGGGCTCTCCGGGAGACAGGCAAGAACAGGACTTGCAAGCTGCATTTTGATTTCTGACCAATTTGATGCAGGAGAATGATGCTGGGGATCATCAGTTGTAACAGGATGATTCAACAGTCTTTGGGGGAATTAAGACATACAGACTTCATTAAACATACTGCACACAACAGTAAATGGAAGTGGCAGGTTTTGTTTTTGTTTTTTTGGGGTGGTGGTGAGAGATGTTTTCTTTTCTTTTTTTTTCTTTTTTTTTTTTCCCTTTTAACATTCAAGCCAGTGCAATTTGTTGTTTAAATATCAGGCATTAAAAAAATAAAAATAAAAAACCCAACAAACTTATTGATCCAAATGTGTCACAGAACTGCGCTCCCCACCATGCATTTACTTCCTCTCAGGAAGTGTCAAAGAAAGGCCAGAAGTATTATAACAGAAAAGAATAACCCTCCCTTTTTCCTTTAACATAACAGTTACCAAACACTGCATTTCTCTGATGAGATCAGGGTTCTCAACATCTGCACAAGTTCCAGGAGGGTTTCAGTTCTAGAATGAACATGGAACTACCAGGGCAGCCTAYGTCTTTCCAGACCCACCCTCAAATGGCACCATGTGTGCAGAAACTCGCATTAAAATATTTACTTGGTTAGTTTCGTGAATTTTTTTTTCTTTTATTTATATTCTATATTTATTTTGTTAATGGCCTAAATTGAACTTTACGTAAATAGCAGGCACACCCTGAGCTCCCTGTAATACAATTATTTGTCATGAATTAAAAAAAAAATCCTGATAAAAGCAGCAAGTATCACAAGAAAGTTCTTGTGCACATATTTTCACTATCTTCAAGCAATGTAATTACAATAACCTCCGCAGGCCTGAGATGCTAAATCCTAGAAAATACTAGATAAATCATGTTTTGAAATATGTTTGTACTATAAAAAAAATCTAGTTTTTAAAGTATTTATCACCATTATAATTAAAACTTAGTTACTTATAAATTTTTTTTTCAGCTCTACTGAAATGCAGTTTCACCGAAATACTAAGTTTGGTTTGCAAATGTTGCCATGTCAGAGCCTAGTTTTGGAGGATTCACTCCAGGGATTATAAAGGGCTGGACAGGATGCTAAGCTGGACTTTCTGGAGCTGCCTTTACTGCCAAGCCAACAAGCTGCWCTGAAACTCTGAAGTTCCATCCCTTTCTACTTTTAAATATATATATTTTACATCTGTACATGACTATGGAGGTGGCACCTATGACTCTTTTCCTGCTTCAGAATGTCTTATGGCTGCAACTTGAAACTACAGCTGCTTCATATAACCCTCAAGCCTTGTCCCTATAAAAGACTAAAGACTTTCTCTCCCCCAAATGCAATAAGCATACACTTGGCTGGAAATGCTATTTTATTATTAAGATGATCTACTACCAAATTTGGGGATAGTGTTGTAGAAGTCTAATTAGAAACATTTCAGAAAATGTAAAAGCTCACTCTCAAGTTTTAATAGAAGCTGAAGAAGCAGCAAACCTCCTTCATTAACTTGGTGGATTCTGGACAGGAAGAAAGAGATTTTTGGAGGATGAGGTGCATGTGTAGGGCACACAGCATTGGAAAGGCACTGAAAGAGGGAGGTGAGTCCCACAGAGTACAATGTTACACCTTCACAGGGGTCTCTGGTAGCGCACCGGTGGTGCGAGCAGCAGTGCAATGTCACTGTCACACGAACAGGCCGAGCAGTGTCTGCTGGCTGAACAAGAGGGGAGCACGCTGGGTGACAAAGACCTCATTCCACGCTGTGCCGCGGGCTGGCCCACAGAATCAGCCACTTCAGAGTTACACATCTCCTGGATTATGGGAAATAAACCTATGGGATATTGGGATGAAATTGATGCAATGGGAATATAATTGCACACATCCAGTTAAGCAGAACCGTTTTGCGGTGCAAAATGACACAGTTGACCAAACTGTTTCCTCTGGGTGGCAATACATGACCTTACTGGAGGCATGATGTCCTCCTGTGCTCTCACCCTCTTTTCTCCACGGGCTTTTGAAGCTGTTGGGCATTTTCAGTCTCACTTGACAAAGAGCGGCAGCCTCAAATCAAGTGGGTTTCCAGAGTATCTTACAAATTCCTGGCAGTGTAGATGAAAGATCCAGTTAYTGCTGCCACTAAGGTAAAGAACAGGGACTGCTCAGGCATTACCCTGAGTTTTGTTTTGCTTTAGGGGAGGGAATCATGAAGTGGCCGAGATCTCCCCCCCTGCAAAGCACCACTGGGGACGTGCAGGGCAGGCGCCGGTGGAGCCCCGCTAGCAGCAGAGCCTTGTGAGCAACACAGGCAACGTGCGGGGAAGGCAGCCTGGGGCTCCAGGCYGGCGGGGACACCAGATCCGTAGCAATCAGGAGTTGCTATCCCCACCGCCTTCCTTTTCTAAGAGCAGGGCGGCAGGCGCACCCGTGGTACCCAACAGCAGCCGCCATGTTATGGCTGCTCCTTGGCCTCGCCTCCCCAACAGGTCTCTTTGCCACCCTTTCCCCCAGAGCTGGGGCTGCCCCGGGCTCACGGAGCCGGGCACGAGCACGGYGCCCACAAGGGGGCAGGGGGAAGGCAGCGGCGCCCTGAAACACGGCGTCCCGAGGCGCGCGGCGAGGCGCGCGTCCAACGGCCGCTACACCAAGGCCGCCATTTTCAGCGTGGCGGGGAAGGCTCCCTGTGCTCCTCTCTGCGCACAAATCCGCACCAAGAGTAAAGGGGGGAAATGTCAGCAGGGAAACGTGACAGCCCTCGGGGCCTGGGGTGCCACCTCAGGCGGGAGCCGCCTCAGCGCGAGCGAGCGGCCTGTTCCCRTGAGGAGCCGCTCCAAAACGCCGCACGCCGGGGGAACAGAAGTTTTAAATAAACCTGCAAACGAAGGTAACACGGGCACACGGCTAATTTGTACACCGAGGAGGAAGAAGGGGGGTCRGCGTGGGGAAGGACGCCGGAGGATGGAAGAATTTAGAACACGAAGCTGCTCTGGTCCTGTGCTAAATAGTTCCAGCTTTGATCTAAATTTAGGCCGCGAGCACTTCCTGTGGGAGAGCGTCTTGCAAAGCTGCAAAGGATTTGATGCTAAATATTTTCAGCGATTTTATAATTGGGGTGAATTGGTTATTTGCTCAGAGCCCTGGCCTTCGGCTAGATAAATGCTTACATTATTTTATATTCCCCACCATTTCCTCTCCTTCCCCATGCTGGATTGCTCCTGTTTATTCAGCAACACATTCCGCTGAATTTTAAATAGGTTTGAAAATTATATTTAAAATCAGCAGGAACAACAAAAGCTCCATTTTCTCGTACAGGACAGCCGCTGATTCTGCCYTCTCCTCACCCCAACACTCATGAAGCCCCAACACGTCAGCCCGTACTGCTATCCTGACTTCTGCATCACGKCCTATTTTTCTTGCATTCCCAATTCCTGGACCTTCCTCTAGTTTCACCTCCTGTTGCTCTTGAGGGAGAATCTTTGGCTTCAAATTTTAAGGTCACAATACATCTACAGCCCATAACCCAATCCCATCTAATCCTTCCCTTGACCTCAAAAACACGAAGCCTAAAAATAAAAAATAAAATAAATACACTGCTCATTTTTACAAAGATCACAGTATCGGCAGCCTGGTTTTCAAATGTGGTTGTGGTTGGTAACACTTGAAGAAAGACCTAAGTCTCTTTCTTTAAATTCAGTCGATAGTTGCATGTTTACCTTTAGGGTGAAACTCAGCTTGTCTATCTTTAGTCATGCAAAAGTAAGGCAGCTCGTTTGAACTAGTTGTCTAGGCTACCACTAGTCAACTGTTTTAAATATGCTTTAGGATAAGATAAATTCCCCCGACTGGGAATTATTTTTCTCGTTTGTCGTAAGCCATAAAGGCAGCTWTTAGCACTGGCCTGAGTACCTAACTTTACAGGGCTCTTAACACATGTTTCTGAGCTCCACAGAGGTCTCCATAGAGGTCACGAAACTGAAAACCTCATCTCTTGGGAGGAAAAACATCTAAAAATCATGATTTTGATCTAATCAGTTATGTCTATGATCACACATTTTTTAGTGACTGATTCTACCTTTTGTAGCATTATATTCTAGGGACTAAAGGAGATCTGCGTTTAATCCAGYGTTCATTTATGGCAGTGCCATTGATTTCAGTGCATAAGAACTGAAGTAAGAAGTGAAATTGTAATTTTATTTTTTTATAATGATTTATTCTTGCCAGCTTAGCTGTGAACTTCTTGCTACCCGTGTGTTTTTGGCCTAACCAAGCACCAGGCTCTCACTGAGAATCTGAGCACTCCATCTCTAGCTTTATTTAAGGCACTACAACAGAGCAGCAGTATGCAGAGCTAAGCTAATATTCAGGCTTGAGGATTAACCCCTGCTGAAAACTGTGTATTTTGGCTCAGTTTCCCCTAAAACACAGGAAAGAGTGAAAAATTACAACTGTTCCTGCATAATGGCAATAGCTGTCAAGTGCCAATAAAATTAAAGAAGTAAAGAAATCTTAGAGAAAGCTTGTATAATTGAGGGTGAAATAACGCAATGTGGAATGCTTGGCCTCCATGTTTGGTGATTATGAGCACTGTGGTAAAAATATCTGTCCATCCTCAGCCTTAAAATACAATATAAAAAAGTTTTAAACTATTTATCAATATATATACATGCACAATAATAAAAATAATTATATTCAAAACAAACAAATCCAAACCCAATTGGCACATCAAAAACACACTATGCTTTAAAGCGAGGGATACGGCTGTGAAAGAGAGACATGTTTATCTCCGTAACGTTTCATCTGATTATGATTTAGCAACTAAAGTTTCAYGCAGAGGGCCCTCCCTAGGGATTAACAACCAGCCGGGAGTGCTGAGAGCTGCTAGCACAGGACAAAGCTAAGGACCATTAACTCCTGCTAGTTACCAACTCCCCAGAAAACGCCTTATGCTACAACCAATGCTGTAATTGCCCTTTTTATAAATAAGCACTAATACCGAAGTGGCAAATTGCTTCTGCTGTGCCATGTTTTTTTGCAAAGCCTGAAAACTTGATGATTCTGGGTGATACAAATATGAGGCTCTTTGAAAGTAAATTGTGCCAGTGAAATAAGCCTTTTTAGTACAGATTCCAACAACACACGCTCTACTAGTAGTTGGGCTGCACAGCAAAGTAATCCTGCACAAAACGCAGGTAAATTCCGAATATAAAATTCTACATAAATAACTTGACACAGAAAGATATGATCAATACTCTGAACTATTAACTCTCCGCAGTAGCTGGTTAAATATAAAAYCTGTTTTTCTCTTTTAAGTTAAAACCCACCAGCTAATTGGCACAGCTGCATGGCAAGTCTCGTTGCCTTCACTTTCATTTGCAGGTGAAGCAGAGCACGAAGAGCTGCGATATAAAGTCTGGATCAGCCCTTTGCAACAGCCGCTGTCCTTGAGCAGGAACCTGCTTCCCATGGCCCAAGCAYGACTATCCCTCCAGGCTAGACCACGAAAGCCCACAGCACGAGCAGCCTCTGGGAAACGGCATGGGAAGAGCTGGGAACACGTTAGCATGGAGCAGCAATCGGCAGCATTCCCGCTCGCCTTGGCTCCCGGCGGGGCAGGACACCTCAGGCAGGAGGCCCCGCGTCACCCATCGCCTGCCCAGCACAACGTGCCAGTCACAAGGCTGGGCTGTTCTCTTGGGCAGAGTGCTGATCACAGGGACTGACATAAACTGTGGGAAAATGGAGTCAAGATGGGATTTGGGAGCACAGGTAACAGTTTGCTTATCAAGAGCCTCTGGAAGTGTCAAGAAATTACTCTTAAAGGAAGCCTGGAGAAAAACCAAAAGAAGGCACGCAGGGAGCTTCTGATTTACATGCAACCCACAGACCTTCTTACCTGTTCATTAGGCTCAAAGCTTATCTCTTCTTTTTCCGTCCTCATCGTTATTAACTTTGTGCTACCGGAAGGGTCTGTCTTACTGTCCAACCGCTCCAGTTTTGGGGGCATGTCTGGTAAACCAATCTCTTTAGTATCATCTTTATCTAGCAAGTAGCGAAGTAGTGCATTATTATTCTTCTTAGGACTCGCCGGCTCCTGTTTAACAGTCACCTCTGAACCAGGAGCTGTGCTACTGGCCTCCTGGTTCAGTTCTTTGCCCGTGGCCTCGGCTGTGAGCTTGGCCAGATCGACAGGAGAACTACTGTCCTGCAATAGTCTGTGCAAAATTTTATGCTTCTCCTTGAGCGAGGTTCCGTGTGCCGACCCGGAGCCGGGCAGCCCTCCCGCAGGGTCCTTGCTCACGTCTCCCATGGTGCCGGACAAGGGCGAGGGCTCCATCTGGTCCGATTTGGTGGTCAGCAACTGCAAGAGCTTCGTCTGGCTTTTGCCGTCGTGCAGCTTGCTCTGCCCGTCGGGCCTCTCGCCGCCCGCYGCGGGCGGCAGGCCGCCCTCGGCGCCCTCCTTCTGCTCCCCCGCGTGGCAGCTGCTCTCTGCTTGTCCAGTTGTACCTTCGGGTTGCTCCCCGTAAAGTCCAAAGCAGTCCTTAGAGTCCAGGCTCCCCATCTTGCTCAGCTGGGGAGGGTTCATATTCACAGGGGAATTTTGTACGTTTCCCATTTTGAGGTCGGGCGAAGCCAGGGAGGATCCGAGCGCGACACCGTGGCCCTCGCTGAGGGCCTGCAGGGCGTTCAGGGAGCTGTTGCTGTAATTATGGCTATTTCCTGTGCTGCTGCAAACTCCCACAGGTGAATGCAAGCTTCCTGCCGGGGAAAACTGACCGGGTGGGATGCGCGGGCTTCCTGCCACTCCCGGGCTCACGCGATGCCGTGGGGACAGCATGGAGTTGGGCTGCCCCGCGCTCAGGCCGGGGCTGCTCTGCGAGGGGCTGTTCATTTTTAGTGCATAGTTACTACCCTGAGGAGTGGATGCTTGCATGCTCGCCACGTGGTTCATGCCCCCGGCGCCGCCAAACCTGCCCGCCGGCAGGCCCATTTGTTCCTTCGGGCCGTTTATGGCAAAATTTATATTGCTACTGACGGTCAGATCCTGACCTGGGTTCCCGCTGCACATGGCCTGATGGGCAGGGCTGCTGGAGCTCATTGGGTTCAGTATCTTGCCCATTCCTTGTCCAGGCAAGTCCTGATTCATTCCGCAGACATTCTGCTCTCTGGGYAGCAAGGGGAAGAAAAACAAGCTATTAGCTGAAATGACAGTGGCCAACTCGCAATTACGCTTCCAAAAAAGAAGCAAAACCCCAAACCTCACCTTAAAATAACGCAGCCACCCTACAATTAAAAATAACTTGACAATTTGACAGCAGTGATAGGCCCCTATCAACATGGCTGTGCATGAAAGGCTTGGGTTTTCTGTAGCTCCTTAAGAAATCAACAGAGTGGAGGAAAAACAAAATTATATCATCTCGTTTAAATGCCTACCATTAGAAACACAGACAGGTTATAATTTCAGACTCTGTCCATATAAAGTATATTTCATCTCTACAGGGCAGCAAGAAATCACTTCTATTAAACAGAGAAATCTCATCCTAAACAGTTGACCCAGCCAAATACGTGTTTTACAGGACAGCTGCAGGCAGCTGTTTGCTGGCGTTTGGCGTTTCTCTGAGCTAGCCCTGCCACAACCCCAAGTGGGCTATTTGCCCACCACGTTCACGGCGAAAGGCAAGTCTAAAAAGTCACATTTCTGCACGGCCAGAGTATTTTGATACCGCCTGCTACTCCAGAAGAGTGAGAGCCAAGAAAGCTACTGGATACCAYGGCAGAATGGGACCAGTGTGTTAGCCATCTAACACGGCACACACATTTTGGGAGGGAGGGGGGAAAGCTGAAGCTCCTGCTTTAGAAATAAAGGTTATAAAAGGGAAGAGCAGAGGGGAGACACAGAAGGCAAAAACTTCTAACTTCTGTGCCTAGAAGGTGCTTCCTCRTTTTCACTGTAGACTTCATCAGTTTAGGTGAGGATGCAAGATGCTCTTTACTTCTGTGCTAAAAATTATACCTTAAAATCTGACATATTCCCAAATGCTAAGAGCTATAAAAAAGATACGGTCAAAAATAGCGTCTGAGACAAATCAAATCCAATCTCGGCTTCCAAAAAACAAACATTAAGGGAGCGTTTCTAGTTTATGTTTTTGTGCTAAATTAGAAACATTCCTACTTTCACAGAGCAAGGGGAGCTGAACCTTCACGTTCTGCTAACGCACTGTAAGTGGAGGAATTGAAACATGATGGGGAAACCTGTCATTCTGTGTGTGTTAACTTAGGTGTAACAACAAAAGCATTAGCATTAACTATAAAAAGAAAGTGTGTTTTTAAAACCTTATTGCAATTACAATATTGCTGGTGTCCGTTAAAAGAAAAGGGAATATTTTTAAGTAGATTTTTTGACTTAATAGTATTTTTTAAAATTTGAAAGCTAGTACTAAATGAAATATTGAGTATTTGTTCATCCATCCAAACAAAACTTTTATAAAAGCTTTGGGGCTTTTGGTTAGGTCTCTTTCCAAGACTTCGGTCTCTGTCAAATGGTTTCAGATTTAACACATTTGGAGCTGTTTTCTTATTCTCAAACAAGCAGTGCTAAGGATAGAGGGAAACAGCACTTTAATATAATCGTCAAATAAAATCTGACATAAAATCTGAAACAAGTACATGCGGTGACTTAATTCAGATTTTATTTCTGAAGTTCKTAGATCAGTGATTATTCATCCTTGACTTTAATATATCATCAGTTATGTCTTTCATTTTTGTAACTGGGAACTGTGGCATTTATCAGAATTGACTGCCTGAAATCACTGCTCCAAGCACCAGAAAAAGACAAGGTCCAAAGAATCTTAAAATAACATGGTTTCTCCAAAATGCAGTTCTAATAATCTCAATGTGTTATTTAGAGAGGACTGATGCCCTAAACATGACTGACTCTGAATGAGAGCGATCTCATCTTTTAAAGGTTTCAAGAATGAGCTGCATCTGGCGTGTGTCTCGTGTCTGCTGTCCAAAACACAGGAAATCGAAATAATGAAGTCAAGAACATGAGGCTAAAGAATCATTTCTTGTAAGGTTTAATGGCAGATCTTGACGTGAAAAGGCAGCATGAGATTTGTGTTACTGCTGAAATCATCTTCCAGCCTTTTCCTACTGTAAGTGTTGAGTTCAAAAACTTACTCYGCTTTCATGCTATCAGTTCTAGGTCAGCTGAATGTCTATCAATCCGAAAGAAAAAAACAAAAAGCTATTACTTTGGTAACTTTGTGTTTTATTTCCACAGCTAGAAAAAGTGGTTGGGCTAAAGCAGCCGGGATTACCTTTGAAGCATATGCAAGGAGATGACAAGCTGAGGTTCACTAGTGGTCTGAGAACGGATGAGCTTGCTCTTTGTCTGGGCAGAAACGATAGTGCCGTCGGACAGGGAGAACCGATACACGGGGCTGAACGCCAGGCCCTGCCTCAGCACTGCGGGAAGCAAACACACGCAGTTAGTGAGGAACAGCAATGGACTCATGGAATCATGGACTCATGGAATCACAGAATCCTTAAGGTTAGGAGGGACCTCCAGAGGTCATCTAGTCCAATCCCCTGCACACGCAGGGTCACCTAGAGCACGTGGCACAGGGCTGCGTCCAAGCGGGTTGGGAAGATCTCCACACACATGGTCTGAAGCTCTTAAACCATCAATGCTGACACCACAGACACTGTGCAAGTTTCCAAAACATCAGCGGAGGAATTGTGGAAGATGAAGAGATGGGATGCACATAAAATAGAGGAACATGTGCAGTGCAGAGTGAGCACGGAAAAAAAACTAAGAAGTGACCATAATAACGGGACAGATGATGTGAAATACAAAATATTTCAGGAGGGGGTCAGGAAGTCCTAGCTATCCATATCCCCCTTCTTCAGCTATGGCTCTAACTCCGTTTGTTGCTCATACATTTCTTACTCCTTATCACCTAAACCTTGATGCCCAATATAAACGCCTTCGGTTCTTACATCATCTGTTTTCATTGCTCTCTACCTTCTCCTCCTCGTTGCCCTCCTTATAACAGTCACTCTCACTACTTCTTTAATTTAAAATTTATCTAAATCTCTTAGACATGAAAAAACAGAAATATGAACAGTTGGAATAAGCAATTATTAATTTTTAAAACCATGAAGTAGCTCCTGTAGCTCCCTGTGACTTCTCTTTAACTAAAACTGAAAATAATGTTTGGGAAAAAAGAAAAAAAGCTTTAAACATTTCTCATACTGTTTACTCTTTATCATCTGTGAAGCAAGTCTAATCATCAAAACATTTTTCAATTTCTAGTGCAGAAGCTATTGTTTTTGGATCGCAAATATTGGAGAGGGCAAACCGGCAACTTCGGAAGCTTCTTGTTCATATTATTATTTAGAGGGGAAAATAGGAATGAAAGCACTATAAATACTTTTAATTTCCTTTTTTTTTTYCATACATTTTTTTCCTGTCATAATAAGCTGACATGGTTTTCCAAGGGAGACTTCTTACAAAAGTGACCTCTAAGCAGCAAGGAGCCATTTCAGGTTTGCCAGCAGTGCTGGCCATCGCCTTCCTTCCCCGTCCCCCCGCTGCTATATATTGTTCTGCAAGGTTTTAAAGTATTATTTAGGCAGTGAGAAAACAGGAAGCACAATTTAAACAACCAGAAGGGCTTTTTTCAGAGTCAAAATGTAAAGAAAAACAAAGCCCTACAACTGTGAAACAATACAAAGCCAAATTTCACTGCTAGGTAGGTCATTGTTTCAGTTTAACCTTTGGGCACCAGAAGGTCCAGAGCTCTTAACTTTAGCCTATACCACAGCAGGAAATTCCAGGACTCAATGCCAACAGGATACAAGTGAAATCTCTACTTAAATCATTTTCCAAACTAATTCTTTAAGCAAACAAGAATGTTTCCGTATTCCTCTTGAGGAAATGCTGTTTTTCTGGCTGTAGCCAATAAAAACTTGCCATATATTCTGTGYTTTATATTGAGAACTAATGTGAAAGGTTTGCATTTTTATTATTGAAGCCAACATTGATTTTTACCCACTGTGATACTGCATTATATATAGGAGATCTTTAATTGTTTCTATTTCCAACAAAATATACTAAAAATCTAACATGAGTTAATAAATGCAAGGCTTTTTTTTCAGTTGAGTTCAAAGATGCGAGTGACCTATGATATTCCCTGTTTTTCTTCTCCATCCTAGTGCATCCCAGTGCACAGGGAAGAGACATTTCAGCCATTACTCCCCACTACTGTTGATTCTTTTGGCAGCAAAACGTTTCCAGGTTCCTGTTACTGGTCCTCTTACCACTACTCTTCACTCCTCACAAACAGCGCCCTCATTTACACTAATTCTGCAGTCTGGCTGGCTGGCCCTCCTAAGCCTTTCCYGCAAACTGATGCACTTAAATCCCCCAAATCCGTAAACTTACTTCATTCCAGAGAGAGTTCAGAGAGGATCCACTCAAGTACCCACGCTAAATGGGGGAGCTGGTAATTCAGCTAGAAATCTTTTGAAGAGGATTGAAATAAAAAGGGGCTGGATGCCACAGCACAAACTCTGAAGTTACCTCTGGCACAGACAAATACTTACCCTGCAAATGCCCTTTATATCCTTACAATAATTTCAACAGCACAGTGTATCTTTCAACTCTGCCAGAAATCACAGCCTAAGGTTGTGAACTATTAGCTCTACTCCAGAGCACTGCTCAAATTGTGTAATTTGGATCCGTGATGCTRCATTTACCAACAACAGGACCTTACAAGAAGGAAAATCCCCAGCCTGCATATGCAGGGTATGCAGGACTGCCCGCCTGACCTCTGATTCTCCATAACCTTGACTTCGTGGATGAGGAAGAACTTCCTGACTCTGAGGGTGCCAGAGCCCTGGCACARGCTGCCCTGGGAGGCTGCGGAGTCTCCTTCTCTGGAGATCTTGCAAACCCRCCTGGATGCCGCCCTGTGCCCCGTGCTCTGGGTGTCCCTGCTGGAGCAGGGGGCTGCACTGGATGCTCTCCAGAGGTCCCTTCCAATCTCAGCCATTCTGGGATTCTGTGACATGCTTGTGGTGCAGGATTAGCAGGGCACAGAGCAGCAGAGGGCCTGGGTGTTGAGGCTCTGCTAAGTCCCACTCTCTCTGTGTTTCTCACAGCAAATGTGACAGAAAAATCCCATTCTTGAAGAGGAGTGGAATAGAGGCCAATGAACTGCAACATGTGAGTTGAGATTGTTAAGAATCCATCGTGAGCAGCTTTGGGGACAACACTGAAAGGTCTTTCTACTSCTTTAAAATGATTGCAGCAATCTGAAGTTTTAAGGCACCTGCCAACATGGCACAGTTATAAGCAGAGGACTAAGGAGGAAACGAGGAGAATGGTGGGAAGCCTCGCCAGAGAGAGCCAACAGTGCATTAGAAAAATAATTTTTATAAAGGTCAGATTGTTCCGCTTAGGTGTAATACAAGGAGAACACAACAAACAGGGATGCATGACAAGCAGTTTTAATATAGAAAGCACTAAAAATATGAAAGCTAACCTTCCTGATGATGTCTCTTGGCAAAAGATATTTCTCCCTCGTGTTGTGAGTGGAACCTTTGAATGCATCTTCTCACCAGGTCCTCCCAGCCAGGCTTCATGGCTGCTCGCATGGTGCTTGTGTCCAGGGAAGTTATTTTGCCTGATTTCAGACAAACCATTTGCAATGTTTGTTACAGTAACTTCCTCTTGGAGGAGGGGAGAGGGGAATAAAGTATAAAGGTCCCATTTCACAGTACCTTGTAGATCCTGGCGAGTGGTAAAGCTCTCCGATGAGGGAAGAAGTGGTCTCTCCTTCATCGGAGCTCTTCTTGCAACACAAATCAAGCAAGACTGCAAATCTTAAACAAAAATGTTACTTCAGTAATTTGTACAGAGAAAAGAGGATTCCTTTTGGATTAAAGAGAGTAGATTTTCCAATAAAAGGAAAGGACAGAAAGAACTGAACGGCTTCACATCTTCACTGTTTCCTACAACAGTGAACATCACAGCAGAGGTGGTTTTGCTTGCTTTCTTGGAAGGAAACTTAGGCAAATACTCCAGCATAGCCCATAATTATTGGCATACACAAACATCTGCTTTCCCTGCTTCAGCATAAACCTGCAGTTCAGCAGTCCAGAAAATCAGTAATCACAAACAACAGACTGCAGGCCCAGAGAACAGTGTTGCTATTCCGTACCGTCTAAGCCACGCTGCTTAAATATGTCCCTGCGGAAGCAGCTTCACAGCAAGCCAGTTTTACCTACCTGACTGCTTAAAATACAATCTGAGGAAATTCACCTGCTGAAGTAGTAAATGCTAAAGGAAACGGTGAACCACAATTATCTTCACATTCTGGGAACTCAAAAAAATGCCAACTGGAGCCTTCCTCCCAGTCGGCTSCAGGCATCTTGTACTTAAGAGTGGTACAATACCAGGAATCTCTTTAATGTGTGTGGAATTACTTTCCATTTAAACTACTAAACCACTTGGGTGTGCACTGTTGCACAGACGCAGCTTTCAGCATGAAAGCAAGCCACAGCTCCCTGACCCAGGGCAAACCTACAGTTTTCCTATTTTCCAACCTTCGGAAGCCCCTCTTTACACCACTATCACCTTGGGAAGAGCGTGGGAAGAGAGCGCCTGTTACCTTCGCCGTCCTCCTTGAAGGAATTTGGTTGAGAGACAGCGAAGCACTGCATAGTTTCGTATTTCTGATGCGCCTCCTGGCCCTCGTGGCCCTCCTCGGCGTCGGCGAGCGGCTTCACCAGCATGCGGCAGTTGAAGGTGTGGCTGTTGCGCCGCGGAGCGTCGCCGGGCCAGGGGCCCCCGTTCACTGTGCAGGGCAAGGGAGGGACACGGGGGTGAAGGGGGCGGCAGGAGCTCCCGCTGCTCAGCCACCCAATAAGACCCACCAAACCCAGCCCGCGCGTCGCCGGCTGCGCGGGGAACAGGCCCCGTCAGCACCACGCTGTATTTTTAGCATCACAGCCCGAAGCAGCGCGGAACAAGGAACTGCAGAAAACTGTTCGCATTTACAAGCACGGCTGCCTGCTTGTTTGTTTTCAGCTACTGTGACTTTTCAAGCAACTTGTTATGGCAGTGGCAGAAAAGCAGAATGAGMGCCTCAATATTGAAGCATGAAAAAGGGACCAACTACAGTGACATCCCTACTGGGTAGAACATATTAACTCACAAGAGAGAAAGCATTCCTATATATACACACTATATATACCTTTGTGTCTAGATTAGAAACAGAAAGAAAAGGAAGCAACAGGCACTGCATAGAAACAGGAAGTAAAGCAATCAAAAATAAATGGTAACACATACGCAGCCACAAGAGGGAAGGGATGAGAGTGACCTGGGTGCAGTGGTGGATAAAACTTAAACCCTAACACGGGGCTTAAGAGAAGTAAAAAAGGAAACCAAATCCTGGGAGGCACAAATATAGGTACTGGACATCAGTCAGAGGAAATTAATCTAACAGGACATAACAGAATAGCAGGTTATTATTTAAAAATACTCTTCACTGTCCTCTTTGCTCTTAAAAGGCAGTAAAGACGGTAATTCATRGGGTTTATCAATTAAAGGGCTTACGGTTTTCTGTTCTTTAAGGGTTTAAATGTAAAGTCTTAAAATGTTAATGTGAATTACATAACACTTTTAAATCAGTATGAGTAAATAAGGAGTGTACTGTATTCCCTCTCTCTCTCCTTTTACCCCAGGCCCTAAAAACTATGGTATTAAAACCAGCATCAGTATGAATGCAGAAAGAGTTGCAGCTAAAAAAAATTATAAAACAGAAGTGTAAATATTGATGAGAATAAAACAAAAAAAAACAGCCATTTTTTTTACCATAAGGAGTTACTGGATTTTTCATAAAATAACCCCCTTTTCTTGAGATGTTGTTATAATTGTCAGTCTAAACAGAGACCTAACAGAGAATTCACACAGCTAATGCTGTCTTGTCCCTTTCAAAGTATCAGTTGACATAAGTGACTGCGAGGAGCTTTAAACAAAGAAGCTACATTGGAAGAGTGGAGGATGCTTGGGGGAAAAAACAATCATTCCTACAGCCTAGATATATATCAAAAACAAACTGTGCATATGAGGAAAGCGTAGCTGGTGCACGGGCATAAACTACAGTTATTTAAGCACTGATTCAGGAAATCAAAGTGAAATAACTTAGGGTACAAGATGAGGAAATGTATATACCTAAAGATTTTGGCAGCAGGATCTTGACAAACTCGTTGTGGTCCCCTACGTGCAGGATGCTGTATATGCTTGTGTTCATCAGCTCCTCCTGGTTGTACCTCAGGTACTGGGTCACATTCTCGGAGACAAACATAACGTTGCCCTCCGGGTTCACCACAAAGAAGAAGCCATCCAGGGCCTGAGGGGAGAAGAGAGGGGAAAGAAAAGAGAGACACAACACCAAGCAATCAGATTAACAGGAAATAGCCAGAAAATCACCATTTCCTTCAGCGGACCTATGGGAATGCTTCTATACCCATCTCAGTTCCTATATTCTCATCTTTAGTAGCCAAGTGAACATTTCATACGGAGGAGCTACAATTACTTTTATCAGAATGGCTTTAGAGTCACGGGAGGACACACATTGTGCAGAATAACACGGAACAACAATAACACCTGCTGCCCGCCTGCCTGGGGACACTGCGCCAGGAAACCTGCCCTAGAGCCGAGTTCTCAGCCCCAGGGTATAGGAACAAGTTCCCTCTTCTACCTTTAAAACAAGTCAGGTCCAGGGTATTTGAAAGCACTTGTGATTTCTGCAAGGTAAGGTCTGATGAGGACTTTTTAAAACCATGCTGGTTGGGTTTCCCCCATCYCCTGGGGCAGGGAGAGCCTTGCTCAAGGACTCTTTCCAATATCTCTGCTGTGCATTATGTGAAACCTAAGCCAAGTATTACATCAATTCTGCCTGCTCAGGATAAAATAAACATTTCAATAGCAGTAAGACGTTCTCAKGTATAATATTTCTTTTTCTTAAGACACAAGCACGAGCAGGCATTCTAGAAATGATTGAGAGTCTGACTCTTTACGTTGCATGAGCAGAGAAGAGGCCTTTAAATTTGAGGCACCACAGCTTTGAACTGAAGCATTTCAATAAAGATGCAACCCCTGCAGATGTCTGCAATTTTGCCCACTTTATTCACCTCTCTAAAGGCTGGTGGGAAACCACTAAAACAGGGGCTAGCTTCAAAAAAATCACCATGAAGATGGTCACACATGGGAACAGGTTGCCCAGGGAGGTTGTGAAACCTCCATCCTTAGAGATGCTCCAAACCCAGTTGGACAAGGCCCTGAACAAGCTCCTCCTGCTGGGCCTGCTCTGCGTGGGAGCGCAAACTAGGTCATCTCCAGAGGTTCCTTCCACACCAAATTAACCTGAGATTCTTGTAGGAGAAAGGGGACCAAGAAAGCACAACAGGCAGGCAGAGCAACTACACTAATGCCAGAATGCCAAATGCTTCAGGTGCTGGATTTTTAGATTACATAAGTCTAATCTATGTATATATGATATATAAGTTTGTGCATAAGCATAAGTTCTCCTCGGATGCTTTTAAATTAAGATAACCTAGGTCCTCTCTCCTGTTTTTGTGTGTTTGTGTTTCACAGCAATTTCCTGCATTTCATTTCATCTTCACTTTTCATGTAACACGTGTCTTCCCAATGCCACATTCAGAACCGACGGCACAATCAGACATCTGCCAAGGCGGGCTCCTCCAGCTGGCTCCGAGTTCCACGCCTCCCTTTTCCCACGCTGGCACTTGCTGCTCCTTACAGGCGGCGCCGGCAGCGGGGCCAGCAGCGGGCAGCAGAGCAGCGGTGCCGGGGGTCTGAGGGTCCCTAACGTGGGCACACACCCAGGCCACATTATTAGTGATACACTAATGATGTTAATAATGTTAAGCCAGGCCTTAACATGCAGCCTCTGTTCATATCAGAACAACAGAGCTAAAATGGGTTTGGTTCAACTAACCCGTACGTGTATGTCAAAGCTCTCCCAGGCTCCTTGCAGACTGCAGAGGGAAGAGTCAAGCTCCAAGTGCTGGCAGGATATAACTCATTAAAACTGCACGGCCCGACACGCAATTAGAGCTGGGCTGTTACCCATGTGCCCCCTCCTCTTCCAGGCCCTCCTGGTGGGGAGCAGGCAAAAGCTGCCGCGCGGGCACCCTAAGCAGCAGAGGTGGCTGCCAACGCAAGCACTCGCTATCAGCAAAGCCCAACAGCTCAATTCTCTCCTCCCCCAAGCAGGGAAGTTTCCTCACTGGACCTCACAAAAACACACCGCTTGTTCCCAAGTGCCATAATCCTAAGCAGTCAGGGCAGTGTGAATGGAAGGAAATGTGTGCTCTTCACCTCCAGCATCATTGGTCCAAGTGCATCCTTGTCAATGACGCTCTGGCCTGTGGATGACACGTCTGCTTTTTGCACTTCATCTTCGTTAGCTGCTGCTGCCTTTTCTGCAATAAAGAGAACTTGGTGTTAAATGACAAAGCAGTGGCGGTCAAGTGATACAAGGAGAGTCCACAGTACATGAGGCTTTGTTGTTAAGCACTTACAGTGGAACAATGCTGAAAATGAGATTAGTCTTCCACAACAATTCAACAGGAATTATAGCTATCATGTTTGCCTCTGGTTTACGACACCAGTTAAATCCCTTCAGCTGTTTCTCTGCTGGACACTTCCCCAAACCACAGGACAGGAAACCTGGTGAGAACAAGGAGGCCTCAGGCAGGGGCAGGGGGCAGCGCTGGGGATCCCGGTGCGATAAGTGCCGGATCCGAGGCCGTAGGCAGAGTTCCCGCTGCACAACCCTCCCACGATGGGCGCATGTAGAAGGAAACGCGCACATCTGCAGGAACCCACACATCTGCATAAAACATGCACATCTGCAGGAACCGGCACATCTGCAGGG